GGCCAGCGGGGGGTGGGGGAGCAGCCTCCGGCCCCCTCCCGCTCCCAGCAAGCCCTCCACATCCTTGGCCCCGTCCAAGGCGGCATAATTGCCCGGCTCCATGGGGCCGAGGGTCGGCGCATGGGGTGCTGAGAGCGGGGGATGCAGGGGGCCCCCAGCTCGCTCTCCCCACCCAGGCCCTGGGGATCCAAAGCGGCACTCGCGCTGATTGGCCGCCGTCAGGTGGAGAAGCTAATAAAATCTTCGTGGCAGAAATTGCGAAAATACTTTAACTGCCCCCTTGCCCTCTCCCTCCTCTCTCTCTCTCTCTCTCTCTCTCTCTCTCTCTCTCTCTCTCTCTCTCTCTCTCTCTCAACGTGAGAGAGACGATGAGTGTCCCTTCGCTGCTTTCCTGGGGGGAGGGGAGAAGTGGGAGACGGAGGAAGAGCGGACAGGGAGTCCCCCTCCTCCGCAGCCCCGTTCCCTCTCTGGCTCTGTCTCCTGCGCTTTGGCCGGTTTAACGAGAGAATAAAGCTCTCCCTATAAAGGGCCTCTCTCGTGGGGGAAGGGGAGTAGGGGGTGGAGTCGGGAGGCCACTTGGCCTGCAAGGGGAACCTGGGAGTGCGTGCGCGCGCCTGGGCCAGCGGAAGCGAGCCACTGGGGATGAAAGGGTATTTCTGGGAGCCCTTTCCTCTGGGTCCTGGGTGCTAGCATCCCAGTTCACCCCAGATGCCCCTCCCATCCTGGATGCACTATAAGCGGCTCCCGGCCCCGGGAAGTGCCTGGGACGCCCCTTCCCCAGAGACCCCAGCTACTGCCCCACACAGCTCGGCTGGCGTCTGGCTCCGGGTTGGGTTGGGGCAGAGAAAGAGGAAGGAGGACAGAGCTCCAAAGAAAGCGATGAGAGACCTGGAGCCTGGGACACAGAAGGTTTAGACTTAAAGGGGAACCGGGGCTTCTAGACCAGGCCCGTGAGAGGGGCTCTGCATTTCCATTTAAGGATGGAGAAAGAGGTAAGGAGAGAAGACGCACAGGACGTGTATTCAGAGAGACGGGTAGAGGCAGAGACAGAAAGAGGAAACCAGGGATCGAAGCACAGAGGGAAAGAGACAAGTTGAAGGAGGGGATGGGAGAGGATCTTATGAAATCCTGGAATACCAGTGGAAAAAGATAATTCCTTCCCCTTCTCTGAGAACTAAGGAATTTCCAGGAAGTCGGGCCTGGTTAACTAACTGGCCATGAACTAGTTGTGGAAGTTCTGGACCCCAAGGGCCTGTGGGCCTCTGCCTCTCTGCCCTCCTGCCTCTGGCATGCTTCCACTCAAGCTGAGAGTCCAGAAAGTCCAGCACCTTCTGCTCCCTGCAGGCTCCAAATTTTCTTAGAAAGGGGATGGGGGATGGGGGCGGGCCCAACCACTGGAGAAATTGCTGGAGGCCCCGCTGATGGGGCCTATTGTGCGGTGTAATTCAAGAAACTAAAACTGCTTTGTTTCACAAATCTGAGGTTTTGTGTCTCTTCACTACCTCGCCCAAATCAAATCTGTCCAAGTCCACTTTTTCTAGAACCCCCAGTTTTTTTCTGGAGAAGACAGGAATGATTCCATTTTGCATAGGGGTCATGGCAATTATCTAGAACAGACCACCCTGAGCTCATGCCCAGTCACCAACTTGAACCTGAACTTGAGCCATCTTTCCGGACTGGCCCCATGCAAACTGGAGTTGCAGGACTATAGGGGAAATTATAGATCACCTATAACAAATATTGCTGCCCTGGCCACGTAGCTCAGTTGATTATAGTATCTTCCTGATATGCCAAGATTGCGGGTTTGATCCCTGGTTAGGGCACATACAAGAAGAAACCGATGAATGCAAAAACAAGTGGGACAACAAACAGATCTCTCTCTCTCTCTCTCTCTCTCTCTATATATATATATATATATTTTATTGCATTTGAAAACCACATGAGAGAAAATGGAGGTGTCTCTTCAATGGGTCTGGGTACTTTTGCTGTAGCATCTTTGCCTGTAGACATCTTTGCCGCAAATATTTTTGCTGCAAACATTTTCACCATATAACTCATTGGCCATAAGGCAATTTTGCCATTAAAAAAGATAAAATCACAAAAAACAAAAGAGGGATGTTAAAAAACAGACATAACACAATTTAAAAGACTTTATTGAGAAATACAAAACACTTACATGTATTTCAAATGTGTGTAGATTCATGGCAATCCTGTGCAAATAGCTGGTTTTAGTTTGTGGATTGTATCTAAGCCGTTGTCCTCATTGTATGGGAACTGTGGGTTCAACTTGGTGCCCTCAAAGAACCCTCAGCCTCTTTTCTCCTCCCAATGTACAGGTATACCTCAGAGAGATTTTGGATTCGGTTCCAAACCACTGCAATAAAAAGAGCGTCACAAAAGTGAGTCACCCGAATTTTTGGGTTTCCTAGTGCATATACGTTATGTTACATGACTGTAGTCTAATAAGTGTGCAATAGCATGATGTCTTTTAAAAAGTACTTAGCTTAATTTAAAAATTCTTTACTGCTAAAAAAAATACTGGCCATCACCTGAGCCTTCAGAGAGTTTAGTCTTTTTGCTGGTGGAGAGTCTTGTCTTCAATTTGTAAAAAACACAGTGTCTGCGAAGTGCAATAAAGCAAAGAGCAATAAGATGCCTGTAGTGTGTTTCAAAATAAGAAACCAACTCTTGGGGCAAATTGTTGTCCTCTGCAAGAAATAAATGCTAACTATTCTAAGACCACCATCATATCTACTCACTGTATTGACCTTTATGTGGGCTAGCTAAGATTTATATATAATATAAAAATGGAAGTAACTGTGAGAACTTTGTCAATGCAGAAATGAAACCAAACTAACAACTGGCTTAAGTACATTGTCTTCAACGCAGTTAATTGGTTTGTCAATGGAGAAATAAAACCAAGCCCAAAAAATCAAACTGTCAACCAGTTATTTTATTTTTTTACAGCAAAATTGCCTTATGGTAAATTACTTATGTGGTGAAATGTTTATGGCAAAAATGCTTTCAGCAAAGATGCCGAAGGCAAAGACGCTTATGGTGAAATACTGAGCAAGCACACTCTTTGACGCTTCCCAGTTTCTTATCATAGCTTCTAGCTTGTCTAACTCTGAAAGACCGAAATATCAGGATTTTTACCTAAAGACAAAGCTTTTTCACCGCTTTTTACTTGGTAGATGACAGTACAAGCATGAACAAATCTCTAAATTAAAAAAAAAATAATTGTAGTCATTCCTGGACATATACCCAACAGAAAATGTTCCTGTCCATCACACGCCATGTACTGGAATGTCCAAAGCAGCTTTATTCATGATAGCTCAAAAATAGAAACAAAACTGAATGTCCATCAATAATTAATGGGTAAATAGATGGTGCTATAATTAAAAACTAGAGTACTACACAGCAATAAACAACTACTGCTACAAAATGAATAAATCACAAAGATATGTGGGTGAAAGAAGCCAGGCACAAAAGATTAACTTGTGTCTGCCTATTTCTATGCAGTTCACGAACAGGCAAAATTAGGTTAGAAGAGATTATGCTGGAGAGAGGGGCTCCTGAGTGGGAGGTGCCGTAAGGAAGCTTTCTGGGTGCTGCACATGTTCTCGTTTTCAATCTGCACAGTAGTTACATGGGTGTGTTCACTGTGTGAAAATGCGAGCTGTACACTGGTTATCTCTGCGCTTTGTATCAGCTTTATCTCTGTTTTGTCAGTACAAAAACTTAAAGATTCATAACAACATTGCTCGCCGCTGTGCTTTTTGGATACATGGTTTTCTTCTTCATGTCTATGAAAATAAGCAGCGAGGCTCACATAGCTCTGCATTGTTGTGGAATACCAGCTCGCCGGCTGTCCCACAGATACATTTCCATACAAATAAAAATTATGGGGCTTGTTGGTTTTGTTTTTGTTTTGCTCTACAATTTATTTAGCTACTACCAGGTCCCAGGGAACCGTTCTGAATGTCATATTTATTAGCATATGAGCATGTGCTCCCATTTCCTGTAAGGCATACCTATAGGCAACTGTCTGTGACGTATCATAGACCTCAACCGGAGTCAGATAAAGTAGGATTCAGTCTCATCTGTAAAAAGTACCAGTCTCCCCATGGGCACAATAATCCCTACCTCACAGGAACGCTGTGCAGATTAAATGGAGATTTTGCATATGAAAGCATTTTATGAATTGAATAAGTATGAGTTATATTTGTGTTTCTGCATGTGTGTCTGTTTCTAATGAACTACAAGACACCTGTTTTTATTTTAAAATTAAAGGACAGTTGTCCTAAAATATACGGGTCACTTTGTACTTGCCTCTCTCGGCCCTGAATCAGCCTGAGGTTCCCACATAGAGAAACTGAGGTTCAGATCCGTCCCTCCTCCCCCACCCCCAAACCTCCCTAGGGCTCTACAGGAGGTTAAGGCCGAGGTCTCAGGATAACCCAGGCGTCTGACCGCCCAGCCAGCCCAGGCTGAGTCAGCCCTTCCCCCGGCCCCACAGAATCCTTTGTGTCCTGCTGGGAGCCTCCAGGCAGACCCTCTCAGACCTTGAGCCTCCCCCTCCCCTTTCCCGACCCAACCAAACGCGCTGAAAGCCTCATCTGCTCCTTTACATACCGGCCAGACACCTCCAGGAAGGTCAAGGCCAAGTTGAAAGTTAAGAGTCTGTTTATCACCGGGAGCCCATTCAGCGCGGCCCCACAGACCGCCTGTGACCTTTACTGCCCGGCCTTTG